GTCAAATATCTAACTAAAACAAAAATTATAACACCATGAGTGATAGACAGGTAAATGTCCTACACCTCTCTAGGAGGATGAAATTTTTAGCTTTTGTCTATCCCTTAGTTTTAAATAGTTTTTTGAGAAATCGGATTAGGGTTTGCAATCAGATACTCTCACGATCATACAATTATTTACTTTAGATGATTCTTACATATCTGACATTTTAACTTTTAGTGAAACCCCATAAAGAACGTAGTATTACCTACACTTTTTCCATTCCTTTACAACAGCATGCTTTAAGTGACAAAGCTGTGATTAAACCATTCATACCAATGAAGGTTATTAACGAAGAATGCCTTGTTACAACTTTTCAAAACGGATATTTCGAAACTTCTTCGTTTGAAGATGCAACACGTCAAATGAGGCAAGTTTTTACTGATTAAATTCAACATTTTTTAATTAAATGAAGATTTAATCATTAGACTGAAATTTCAAAAATTGAACTAAGTATGTGCAAACATTTTTCGATGCCATCTCGATGAATAATTAAGCTTACAATTCAATGGTCTGCAGATATAACGCAATATTTTCTTTGGCATTAATTACTCACTAAAATCTAAATGTCACGTTTTCTTCAGTGACCATTGCATGGATAAAAACTAATTCACATATTTTAATAGCTACCGAGTGAAATTCGCGAACTCTCTATCGTTCACTATTCCAATTACCTTTGTTTGACAAAGGCAGTCTGTAGTGCATAATGAAAGCTGTAACACAATTTTCAGTTGTGATTCCGATGGGTACGGAGATATTATCAAACCGAATGTACCTACTTACTTCTCTTCCTGTGCATCAAGTTTAAACCACTTGTATTCTACAGTACGATCCAGATACTGGTGGATTATGTATAACCAAGATATTAAGCTTTATGTTGCTAAAACATCGTAAATCAGTGAACAAAATTACAAAACTAATTAACAATGAATTTCACTGTCTATCCGCTGTATATTTACTTGATCAATGGCTTTGGAAAGAGAAAAGATAGAGCTTAGGAAACATTTCTCACAAATCGAGCAGATGAGATTTCAAAATTAAGTTCTCTGATAAGTTCATACTTTGGTATTCGCTGACAAAAGTTAAAGCACAACTAATCTCTTCAACTCACCCTCGATCGTTTATTTTACTACGAAAGTAAAAAAAAATATTTCTTTAGAAGAGGGACAACAAGCTGTTGACTATATTGAAAACTGAAATAAAATTAAGAAGCCATTTTGACTTTTTATTCACAATTTTGTGGATTTATAAAACTCGTTTCAAGAAACGTTTCCTGGAAAGTGTTTTAAAGGAGCAACCAAAGATGATACTTCCGACAACATAATACTAATGTTTATGAGAATCACTCTTATTTGAAACTTGAAATAATGAAAAAAGTATGTTTTGATCCTTATCGTACATTTGTCACAACAGTCAGTTAGGTACAGCGTAGGACCAGGCCCATATATGCATCGGTCCAAGTTGCCATACCTCATGAACACAACAAGATGGACACCGGATTCATAAAAGTAGTTAATTCAGAGGTGGTAATATATAAAAGAAAGATTGCAATAAGGATATAGTACAGGAAGAAAGAATTAGTTCGTAGAAAGAAAGATATGAAGTGATTTTAATCCCTAAGTTTAAGGTAAGACAGAGTGTATACACCGACGTCATTGTGATCGATTCTTAGCCATGTCACCTAGAGTCTCCAACCATTGGTTACGATGGTCACGCGGACCCCAACAAAAATAACAGAAAGCAGAATTTTATTCCGTAATATATTTGACGAAAACAGAATTCCCTAAAGGTAAGACTAAAGCTTGACTCTAGATGTCTGACTTGCAGGCGACGATTCGTAGTCGATGAGAGAGAAGAATCATAGACACCTTAGTTAATCTTTCGAAACAATCTGTACATATTTCACGATTTAATAATCTTTGGACAGTTTCTACCTGATGGAGTCTTATGATAGCCTCATTTATCATAGCTGAAACTTATACACTTTTAAAGAATGTTTACATTTTAAGATCAGAATCGGTTTACATTACTATTTGTAACGAAGTTGTATTTTGATAATGATAAAAAACTATATTAGATGAAGCAATTCAACTCTCTGTAGTAATAAACATGATTCTTATTCATTAACTTTTTCAGAGAATTTGTACGCACTATTAAGCGACCATTCGATGTTCATTATAACCCTTACACACAAAGCATTGAAATAATAAAAACTCCCAAATCAGTGGCGAAGCTTGTTCAAGATTTACAATTTGAACTCACTGCAATCAACGAAAGCCTTCTTAAAGTAACGCTTCCTAATATGTATCATTTGTTGAACACCCATAAAATTGTTTACCTTTTTTCTGTGAAGTTTATTTTTTGAGTTATCGTAACGTGCCCGAGAAGTACAAACAGTACCTAAATTAATGTTGTAAGTAGATGTGACTTCTGTAAAATTTCATCTCTGTGGATTAACACATATATTGATAATGTATAGGTTTCTACGGAACTGTGAGCCATGAAGATTTATCAAACTTTACTATGTGACAGAATTTATTGACTTCTGTGTCAAACTTCATAGAAAAATGAATGTTTATGACATAATAAAATAATTCAAACTTAGTCAAGGTGATAGATATTTTCCAGTTATAGGAAGTTGAAAATCAGCCTGAGTCAAGCGGTTATTTGTTTTATTTCCAGACTATTCATACTCAAGTTTCAATAGTGAAATCAAAAACTTCAACCTTTCTAGATATCATACCAACCTTGAAGATCTTAGTTTAGTCTCAGTAGCTAGTGTCGATAATCTTGATTATTTACTTACACTATTATGTAAATTATCAATATAGCAACAGTCTGGAGTGATGATAAAAGAGAAAATATTTTCCGCAATGCCATATGAGCATTTGTAATGCATAGTACAAACGAAAAATGAAAGGTAAGAGGAACCATTCAGTGTGAACTGAGGTAACTTCATAATGAATGGAGCTATGATTAGCAAAACAAAAGACAGACGTTTATAAACTCATAGTTGACCATATAAAATATGCAACTGAACACATAGACGTTGCTCTAACTTGAGTGAAAATTACCCAAACATTGTTACTCTAAGTGATAAATACACACTAACATTTTCATGGTGTCATACTAGGTGAACTGTATGCATCAAGTTTTGTTCCTACTGTCAGTGGGACGTAGTATAAGCTTTGATGTTGATACTCTACAACAGACAAAACAGTAGAACTTAATAAATACTAATAAATTTTAAGCTATTTACGTTTTCAAATGATGATAAAATACGGATTATCTCATATTGAAAATCATACTGTTGTCTATATCCTTACTGGTGCAATGATTATTCTCAATATTCAGTCACATCATATTTGTTTCCGCGACAAAGTATTGCTATTAGTGAATTTAATTTTGTGACGAAATTTAGTGTATTTGTGAATTCATTCATCTCCATTTTCCTTTTATCATTTTGTAATCAGATAAATAGAGAAGTTAAAAGTCAACAATTCACAACTAATAAAATCGTAACCGAGGACCGATCAAGCTAGTATGATTCTTGAAAGAACTTCATTTATCAACTTAGTTGTCAGACGAAATTACGTTTTTGCTCTATCATCAACATATTTATTAATCATTTTTACTTCTGTAAGTGCTTTATCATATATTCATTTATTGTTCCGCCTTGAATTCTCTAACTATTCGTCGTGCTTCATCCATATAATATGCAACGATTAATGTTCTCTGCACGCTTGGTAGTATCAATAACATATTTGATGAAGTCCAGCTTTTGTTCTGATATACGTTATCGAACTGATAATTAACAGTTTAAATTACCAACTGAGATCAACACGTATGCCATTGAATCCAAAGAACACATGATAGGCGTCTCACATTTTTGAATAGACCGTGATTTTATGCCGTATTCAACATCAACATTCATGTCGTACTCAATATCATCCAGCACTGGACAGATTATCAATATGAAACCATTGAGCACAGATCCAACGGTTTGACTCGAATTAATTTTTGAGGTACTAAGGATTGATTTTCAGAACAAAAAAAGTTCATTAATGAAAGAACCTTAGTTCGTATATCACGTGACTAGATTAATCAAACTGATGTCCGTTATGCTTCTCTGAAGTCAGTATACCCTCACAGCTTAGTAATATCTATCTATCCCATGCGTCCATCGGGTCAATCACTGCTTGATTGCCCAAGTTAAAAACATCAATCTGCTATAATCAATTAGGTTGCTTCACAGTCAATTATTTGCACTGAATAATTGTTAAACCAGGTTTTCGTTTAAAGCGTCTAGTTTCCTATACCAAAATAACATTGTTCATGTACTGGATATCTTGTAGATATTGAGTGTCCTTCGTACGGTAGATGATCTTGCAGAGGTTACCTGATAATCTACTGGGTCTGTTTATTTATGTACTGGTTTCCTCAATGGTTTGAATCATGCTTTAGAAAACCATGCTCATTCACTGCAATTTCGGAAAGATTGATATTTATGCATGATGGAAGGAAGTATTTTGTTAATAATGTCCGTGCGGATGATACCTCCAGACAGAAGCTGATACCAGTCCCACAAAACTGTTGGTAATCAATATACTTACTCTTCTAAATGCCAGTCGCGTTGAGATTGAAAAAAACAGCTCATAAGGTCATTAAAAAACCGTAAATCTGTGTCGGTATGTGATTGATAAGTAAATTGTAAATGATATATTTTTATGATGGTCTAATGGTTATCAGAAGCATGCTTCGTAGGGACAGTTTACATATATCTAAGTGCTCACCTAATCTGTTAAATCACACAAATAATTCCCACAAATTACTGAACGGAAACCTAAGTTTTTTAATCCTTATTGCAAGATAATTATCGTGAATAATTAGCTGATCATGAACACAGACATACACTTAAGTTTCTTCCCATCGTCATGTATACGCAATAAGATTTCCTAATCAAATGCGTCTGCATTCCATTTTATTAAAATGTGAATTTCAAACACTGAACACGCTTCTCTATTGATAATAAAACGCGCCAAGCAGAAAAAGTATTTTATAAATAGTTGAATAATGATAAGTGACGTAAGCGGCGTTTGTGTACTAATTAATAAAAACAGATACATATACGTTTGTACGTTCAGTCTGACGATTTTAAATTAGAATTAGAAACAGAGGTTGCATAGAATTTATCCGAATTATTTTTCTCTTCTGATGTAAATGATTGCGATATAGATGACATTGAGCCTTCTGGTTTCTGATCTGTGATTGGATGTAGTTTATTGAAATTCGACACAAAAATGCGTGCCAGTGGTGAAGGTCCTTTAGTTAATTTTGATATTGCCACAGTTTCCGATAGACTGGAATTGTTGTCTCTGTGTTGAACCTTCTCAAACGGATTTTTTTGAACATTAAACGACTAGAAAATTTGAATTGTCAAAAATAAATGGAAAAATGTTTAAATAACAAATGATTACATGGTATTTTTATGAGATCAATTACAAAGTCATTAGAAATATGAATTGTTGTAAACTCCGGAAAAGTCGAATTCGCAACTGTATACGCTTCATTCATCTATGGTTCTTATTGTGAACCACCATTCAAAGCAAAAATTCATTATACATAGGACTGAATCGGAAAAACAAGCTAGGTTTAGTGCTGAATATCAGTAATTGGAAATAATAATATAGGTGAGGAAATTACATTAATTAGGTTTGATATGAATTAATCAATGGGAAGCTTAAGTGACTATAAAAAAAGGTCCGCATATTTTAAATTCATTCTGTAATTATGGCTTATTTACAAATGACGTATGTTGACAATAATTTGAACGTTATTTATAAGAATGTAAATCCTACCGGTTTCTTTGACTGACCACCATTTTAGTTTTTAGTATGCAGGATTCATGTGAACACAATTTTGTGATACAACTTCGAATCCGTTAGCTAAGAATAGAAACAAAGATGAAAAACATGGTCTCCTAGGCGGTCATCCATATGTTTCACACTTATGGAAATGATGAGCGGCAAACTTGGTAATAATCTTTATTATTTTCTTAAACATATGATGAAGAGTCTACTTTCAGCTATTACTGATGAATGCTATAATTTCTCAAATCCGGTAATAAATTGCTATTATTATTATCCTAGTCACGTTATCTCCAACGTCTATTTTGAACAGCTAGTATATAATCTATTAAAATAGATGTTTGTTTCATTTTGAACTCAAATCAAATATTTTATTTCAGAACAAATAAATACAAGAAGACAAGTTGAGCGAAGAAATATTTCTTTACAATTAGTTCTTCATCAAGGGTCTACATTAATATATATGTTTTATAAGTGAGTAGAAAGTCGGCATATTTGCATCCCTTGCGGATTGCCTTAAGTCACAAGCTTTATAAGTATTTTTTGTTGTTTGTGAAATTGATGATAAGTAATTAGTAGGGCGGGTTCAGTGAAAACTAGATAACATAATTAGTAGACAGGTCAGGTAATACTAGGATTAGAAATTAAGATGTTATGAAATCGAAGTTCGGAAATTTTTTTAAAAAAAGGGAAAAAATGTCTCGAAATACGTAATGGCTTCTTCTATATGTAAGAGCCGGATCTTAGAAGCATAGGGTAAATTCGGTGAGATTTCATTAACAACTTCAAACGCAGAAGTTTTATCCATGTGGTGACCAGTATCGACTGGATGCGCCAAGATAGAGCTCCTTATTACTTTCTTTTGTCATTTGGTCAACCACAAAGAGTGACGTTCAGAAATAGGATGATTCATTTATCTAGTTATGTCTATGATGATTCCACAGCAACACAGTCATATTGTCTGTGAATTTCTTTATTAAACAAAAAATATACATTCATAATACATCTGAGTATTAACTCTTTCAAAAAGAGGAGACCGGGGTGCTAATTTCCACCTCTCGATTTTGTAACTCACTACATATGAAATTAACTGTTTTTATAAGAGGCACGTTTGTAAATACAGAGAATGCATCAAGTGATATCATGAATTTCTGAGCGAAGTGGTAAGTCAGTTTTATGTACTTTTGGTAGGCCGTGAAGTTTAGGTGTCACTGTACCTGTGGGTTTAAGTGCTTTGTTTAAGTTTTGGGCGACCATACCAGTTTGTTTCAGACCATTTAATGATTAAGTCAACTGTCGTTCAGTCTTTTCTGCGGGATCGTTCTTAGAAGATAATTTCTGAAATTTGCTATGATCACTGAATATTTTATTCATCTTTTTCATGTGAACTATTCTATCTACCAGAACTGTTCCTGATCATTTATCAGGTCTGGTGAGCACTAGGTTTTTAATAGTTCTTAGTTTATGTAGAGAACCTTTGTGCCTTTTGGTTCAATAATTGACTGACTATGAAAATTCACTTTAGTTCTAATCTTAATTTTCTAGACGTTATGTAACTGTCTGATTGTCATTTTGTTAGACCGACTCACCACCATTTAGTTTGTATCGACTTTCTACTCACTTATAAAACATATATATTAATGTAGACCCTTGATGAAGAACTAATTGTAAAGAAATATTTCTTCGCTCAACTTGTCTTCTTGTATTTATTTGTTCTGAAATAAAATATTTGATTTGAGTTCAAAATGAAACAAACATCTATTTTAATAGATTATATACTAGCTGTTCAAAATAGACGTTGGAGATAACGTGACTAGGATAATAATAATAGCAATTTATTACCGGATTTGAGAAATTATAGCATTCATCAGTAATAGTTGAAAGAAGACTCTTCATTATACTCAAAGCAATTGATGGTGAAGCGAACTTATTGCCCTTTTTACTGATAACTTTAATTAACATGCGTCTTTTTGGTGGTCGCCCTTATTAGCGTCCGCCCTTTTGAATAGATAGCTCCCAGTATATGGCCATACCAGGAATCTTTTATAAAAAAGGGGGACTTCGTGAAAACAATAAATAAGGAACAACAAACTATGAAGGCTACTTTTTAGGACATTAATGTTTAATTCTTGATCTGTAATTAGTGAATTCCATATTTCTTTAATCATAAGCTTTCGTTTAATTTACCAACTATTATTATATTCTCCATTTCACATTTATTGAGATTGAAGCGAGATCGTATCCTATTTTTGTGCGTTGAATTACCTAATTTGGGATAGACTGTATTTTCAGATTTATTGTGTTTCGATCCAGGTGTTTAGTCGAACATTGAATGATGAGAATATAAAAAACGATCAACTGATGTGGTTAAGGAATGCGTTGCTCAAGTTTAGTTACCGCCTACGAAGATATAAGATGTTGGTTGATGTAAGAGTAGGTTGGAAAATAAGTAAGCATAAATAGGTTGAGATATAACACCAACTCAGTCAGTTAGTCAAGAGCAATGTAAAGCCTGGCATAAATGTGGGGTAACCAAAAATCTCACACCACATCATGACGACGAGATGAGATTAAGATGAATAGCAGAGGAGTAGAAATAATCATAATAGCAATGACAGTCGAAAAGACTAAACACTGTTCGGAAATGTGGAATGAAAAGGTAGAAAGGAATATTAAAACTCCTGACCTACAGGAAGAGAAAGTGTATGTATATCTGCTACACTATGGCCGATTCTAAGCCACGTCACTCGACGTCTTCAACTACTGATCATGATAATAGTGTGGACCCCGAACAGGTAGTTTGAATTTATCAACATAGTGAAGACTAGTGGTTGATAAATTCATGGGATAATGTCACTTGGTTTTATTTCCTCAATTTTTATTCAAACCTACTACTTCTGCCTCAGTAAACATCGCATGTTGAAGTAGATATTGATCAGGTGCACTCAACACATGTTAGTCACTTTAGTAGACGAAAATTCACTATGCCATCAGATGATCCATGTTTACTGGTTTGGCCCCATCTGATACCTATGGATGTTAGGTTGAAATAGAGCAGTTGTATGGATTCTCCTTCTCTTTTTAAATCGTCAGGCATTATTAATAGCTCTTCGATCTCATTTCTTTTGTCTAAAAATTATCTCTCATGTTTAGGGTTCTATTTCAGCATAAATCAGTTCCATCTACTTGTTATCTTGCTGATTTCCTTTCACTGTGTGAAAATCTGGACCAATACACATTCATGACTATTTCTTTGCTGATGAGCACTAGTCGATAACCAAACAAACCCAGAAATAACACCTTCCGGACTCTGACTAGCAAAAATAATCTCGAAGTATTCAATAATAAAATAAATGTACTTACTTGGTGAACAGATTTTTTAACCGAAGAACTATTTTTCTCATATAACGAATGGACCACAGTTGGTGTTCTATTAACAAAACGGGCACTACCATTCGCTGTTTGAGGAATCGAATAGTCTTTATCACATTGGAGTTTGCTTTTCGACATATTCATTTCCATGAATCCAGGTTGTAATTTTACGTCTTTCTTATGACTATTTGAGACCGAAGGAGACAATGAAAACTGTTTTGATACTTCATCATGTTTTTCAGTTATAATACGGGTATTATCATTTTCTTTTGAATCATCAACACTAATATGCAGCTGTCTTTCTAATTCAATGAATAAGCCCTCTTTATCAAAACCACGGTAGCTATCCAAACTCAATTTTTTATTTTGGAATTCCAGATCAATACTACAGGCTAACTTTATTTGATGTAATAGATCACGTGAATTCAGTTGTGAACATGCCAAAGAATTATTTTTCCCATCAGATACTAATGGATTGATCTGAACAAATTGAAAATCATTATATTGATTAAGTTCTGGTAAATTAGTAGGTTCTTTATATTTAGGACTGTCACTACACAACTGCAAGTAGAATGAAACAATAAGGTTTTACATAGGTTTCCAGAAAATGCTATTATTACAATGAAATTATTCCTCTTTCCTAGTGCATGTCATCTCCAAATAATTAACCTTAAACGGATTCATAAGGTAGATTGATAGCTCATCAAAAGACAGGTAATCAGATTTAAGTCGATAAATCACAACGTCTGGGACAAACCTTCTGTTCTACTAGGAAATCCCAGATTACAGTGAATATTAAATTTCTATGTTTCAATTCTAATCCGAGTCACTATTGTGAAAGGTAAACAAATGAAAATGTTTAAAGAAATATCGTTTGTTAGATATGTCGTTAGAATTGCAAATCTCACAGACGTCTCAAACTAAATAGATGTCTAGATTAAGTCGATTCGTAACACCAAAGAACATTTATTAATCACCACAAAGTACCCGTACTGATAATATCATACATATGACCGACTTTGAAATGGATTTCTCAGTTTTAGCGCGACAACAATTGACCAGCAAAGTTAGTTTCAAACCACTTAACATTATAAACTGACTGAAATAGAAAACTGTGGATTATGTTTCAAATTGGAGGCTGAATGATATTGACCTTGCTGTGAGTCTTGTGCTCTATCTCTTATGGATTCTGGGGTATGGACTCCTGTGGCGATCTAAACTAGAATAAAACAGCTGTTCAATGATCTCTTACAAAATAAATGACTCTCCAACCTATATCAATTAGTGACGAAAACCATCTTCGAAATCAGACAGATGCTGTCACAAAACACTTAAGTAAATATGATAAAAAAGCAGAAATAGATTCTTAAATCGTATCCGCGCTACTGAGTAAATTCTTATAGACTATTTCAGGTGTTTACTCAACTGTTGGGTTTAACATAGGCGGAAACAATCTAAAATGATTGCATCGCAATGTTAACCATAAACGGAAATAATGCTTTTATAAAGGTCAGGTTCACTTGGTCTTTTTTTTACCAGAAAAAACACGGAAAACAAAATTAAATCCAGCTGATGCATATTGACCATTGGGTGAGTATTAATCAATTAACGGTTCATTACTTTCACAAAATATTTTTCATCTTTGAGGTGACAATATGGCAAAACTCTCAGTAATTATAAATTTCAAATCAACCTGGAAAAGCGTATGGTTATACAAAGCGTGTAGGTTTCACAACTACATATTTGTAGCTTTTGTAGTACTCGATTTGCTTATTCACTTGCTTGACTGGACACCGGAAGCTTCACTATGATTTCTCCAAATGATTAGTGGCCTCAATCTCAATAATAGAGTTTAAATTATTTCTCATAAAGAAGTGTGAATGCTTACGAGGTAGTATCTGATTGATATGTATCAAAAATATAAAGGGTTACAGCTGTAGCTTCCTAGGACCCATATCTATCCACATAACAAAATATGAATTTATCGTCTTCGAATCTACCACTAGCTTTAGTTCACTTTCAAACATGGATCTCTAAGATTCTTGATAAACAACTAAAAGATAAGTATATTGTAGAAGAAAATTTTTATATCATCCGATAAAACAACCAAGTCTTCCGGGCTTTGTCAAAAATAGTAGATTCCCCGGTATTATTAATGAATTTTAGTATGCTTAATAATAGTCAAAAACAATAATCTAATTTCACGTAACAGAGTTTCCTGATAAGAGTATACAAAAGATATATAGCTGTGCCCTGTGTCTAAATAATGCTCTCTAATTTAATTAGTTCAGCAGAAAAGATATCTTGCATACAAAAAATTTATGTAACGCGGCCATTAGTCAAACAATGCTGTGTAGTGAGAAAGTAGACTAGTAACTTCCAGAAGAATTATGCTCGAACAAAGCATTCATATAAATGCTAAATTTAAGATCAACGGATAAAGAAACCAAAAGAAACAGAGGCAGCTTTCAGACCAACTTCGTAGCCACGACAAAGTGGTAAATTTTCCTGTAAATTCATAATAAGGCGTAAAATAGATACACAAAGTCAGTTTTTATTCATCAACATGTTAATAGCAATTTCTAGAACGCTGAGCCAATGGATTTGCACAAATCTATCATGTAAACATTACCACAGTAATCTTCACAGCTTTCTCTGGAACTTGGTATTCAATTAATAGACTACACGGATTCGTCAGCAATCAGTTTTAAAAGAAATAAATTATTTCCAGGTTGATTGGAATTTCTGTGTTGGGAATGTATTAAGTTGTGAAAGTACTTACTTACTTACTTACCCCTGTTACTCCTCGTGAAGGATCATAGGCCGCTCACCAGCATTCTCCATCCAACACTGTCCTGGGCAATCCTTTCCAGCTCCTTCCAGTTGTTATTCATCCTTTTCATATCTGCTTCTATTATCCGACGTAATGTGTTCTTTGGCCTTCCTCTTTTCCGCTTCCCTTCAGGATTCCAAGTTAGGGCTTGCCTCGTGATGCAGTTTGATGATTTGCGTAATGTATGTCCTATCAATTTCCATCGTCTTTTCCTAATTCCCTCTTCAGCTGGAAGCTGGTTTTTTTCTCTCCAACAGTAGGTTGTTGCTGATGATATCCGGTCAACGGACATTCAGTACCTTGTTTACATAACTATTCATAAATACTTTTACATTTTTAATGATGGTTGTAATAGTTCACTACGTTTCAGCTCTATACAGTGGGACTGTCTTGACATCTGTATTGAAGATTCTGACTTTGATATTGGTTGAAAGTTGTTTTGAGTTCCATATGATCTTCATATGTAGGAATGTGGTTGTTACTTTGTCAATCCTCACCTTTACGTCTGTATCGGATCCTCCTTGTTCATCGATGATGCTTCCCAGGTACGTGGAAAACGTCACCTCTTCCAGAGTTTCTCCATCACATGTGATTAGTTTGGTGTTCTCCGTGTTGAATTTGAGGATCTTACATTTTCCCTTGTGTATGTTGAGACCCACTGAAGCAGACGCTGATGCTACACTGGTTGCCTTCATCTACATTTATTCGTGTGTACGGGATAGAAGGACCAGGTCATGTGCAAAGTACATATCTTCTAATTGGTTTCGAGATGTCGATCGTATTCCGTGCTCCCACTCAGATATTGAGGTCTTCATAATCCATTCAACCGTCAGAGGAAAGAGGTTGGGGGGAGTAGACTGCCTTGTCTAACTCTGGCCCTTACTTGAAATGCATCTGTCAGCTGACCCTATGCACGACTTTGCATTGTAGTCCGTCGTATGAATTCCGGATAATATTGAATGATACTTTGATGATTCTGGATCCGTGAGATTCCCATCCTACAAGTGCATTTCGTGCTACTTTGGACAGCATCAGAGCGACTCCCTGAGTGTGTGGAGCATTTTCTTCTTCGTGACCGGGGTATAGCAGCATCTCTCCCGTAGCTAGCCTTTTCTGTCCAGCTTGGGTCTAGTGGGTTTCGCTGATTCCCAGTACTGCCAAGTTGTGTCTCCTCATTTCCGTTGCTATTTGACTGGTCTTTCCGGTCTCCCACATTGTTCTGACGTTCCATGTACCTATAAAAATTTTTGCTCTGGTTGTTAGAGGGGGCATCGGCCTCGTGGCTTCCGAAGGAACTCGGCTTTCACCATGAAGCGTCATAATTCTTCTAAATGAAGACCTACTAACTCCCAGGGCAGAGTTAAAATGGTTGGAATTATTTTTTCTGGTAAGCGTTCTTATAGCGAGTTAGTTTCCTTCGGGATGGGGACGCTAACCCCATGCCCAACCCTCCTCCTTTACCCGGGTTTGGGACCGGCAGTTACTCTAGAAGAGCTACAGGTGGAGTTAAGTTGTGAAAGTAACACAGGATTATTTTCACTCGACATTTAGATTGACGTTTATTTCAGTAACTCGTTTGAACTAATATATGATGAGATTAGCCGACATGGAGACATTGCCAATTATGACTAATTTTGTTGAGTCTCTTGTTTCTATTTTGTTTATCCGGGAAGGTTTTTGGTTCACATAAAATATCATCTACAGGTTCTGTATCTTCTCCACGTGACTTGACATTTTTGTGGATATTAATTATTTGTTAAAACTGCTTCTTATCCAGTCCAAAAGTACCTGTTGAAGATAGTTGCATGTTTGCTACCTTTAGGCAATGTAAAGGTAATTACAAATAAACTTCTATAGTTGCCGGATGCTATTGAAGATTTCCGGTTTATAGAAAGAAAAACTGTACATCAGGAATCAACCCTGACATTAAATATTCAACAATGATTCCTTACGTTTTCTTGTAAACTTTATTACAGATAATCAGTTCTAAGTTGATGAAAGATTTTTGGACTGAAAGCGATGTTTATACCATACAGGAGGATAAGGGTTTGTTATCCCCTTGCATTAAATAATTTGACTTAATTTGCCTCTACAGTCATTTTGCTAAATATCCAGCCACATCAACATCCGAGTCACAAATACTCTTTCCTACATATTTGTGTCTATATACATGTAAATTGGTAAATGCATTGGAATGTGACGCAAACTTTTACATGCTGATTAGGGTTTTAGTGAAGCATACACGTCATTTTTTTATAATTGCGATAATACGTTGTACTAACAATCAATTCAAGTTTTCTGTTCAACAAAACTATCTGGCTTAACCCTGAATGCTAAGGTGACGCAGATGAACCCTTTATTTACTAAAATGATAGTAGATTCCAACATACTATGTTGTTTCCATTAATTTATAGATTTCGATGGATATCTGTTCTGCATCAGTGTCAGTCATAAACAACGCACAGCCTATTATGTATATCGGTTCAATTTGCCAGACCGCATTAGCACCGAGGGATAAAATTATCAGACCAAATCCTAGAATAATAGAGGTAGTAACAGTATGAGCGATAGTGGGAAAAAATTGGGCATCGAAGATATGATTCAGGAAAATATAAATTAGTGAAATAACAACTCAAAAAATGTTATAGAGCATTTAGAAGATCCGAACGAAGGGGTACATCTGTGCTATTAAAAAAGATTTCGAGCCATTTCACTCAGTTTCTAATCA